GGTGGCGGCGTAGTCGTAGCAGTAGCAGTCGTCGGAGTAGTAGTAATAACTGCTGCTGTGGTAGCCGTAACATTATATTAGCTATAGTGGGTATAATGAGCGTTGTCACAGTCTTCGTAGTGTCGACGTCAAGAATTCGTTATGTAATACGTAGGATCATGATTGTCGCACAATCTCCAGACAATCGCTCCATACTGGAGGCAACATCCAAAATGGAGGCAACAGGCGCGAAAATATGCAACATCGAAACTGTATGGCAGCATGGCGCTATCGAAGCTCACCGCCGACAATCACGAACACGAGGTGCAGTTCGAAAGGGAATCGCAAAGCCGTCTCCAGGAAGAGTCGCGCTCAGGGTATGTCATCGATGGCATGCCGAGCGCGAAAGTAATAGCAGTATCGGTGGCAGCGGTACTATGGCAACGATCCTTCTCGTTCTCACATGATGCGACCTGCTCCTATGCTTAGGTCAGGCCTGTCCCCCTACAGGGGGGCTTTGTACGACATGGCTTCACAAAAAATCACAAAATACTTAAAAAATTGTCAAACATAGTCAAAAAATCATCCCCAGACTACTTTTTGACTATTTTTGAACATCCCTTCTGTAGAGGGGCAGGCCCGACTCAATCCTATGCAACAGGAGAAGCGCGGCCTCGACGAGGCAAGCGAGCCAGGACCAGTCCCAGAACAGCCAGGCGCGGGCGCCAGGCTGGGCGAATGTGCGCTCAAGACAATTTGCTCAGGCTGCCCAAGATTGATGTCAGCTGATTGGGGGATGCGGGTGGCAATGCCAGACGAGGGAGAAAATTCAAGGAACCAGCTGTCTTGAACTTTCTGGGGTGAAAATACGTACGACAAGTTCGCCTGGACAATTGAGCAATATGAATGCTACTCTCCCTCCTCCCCTGATGCTGTCCAAAAGAGCTCCCACCCCCTCCGCGTAATTTTGTGATGCGCACCGGATTTCAAAATTGATGTACATTCTTAAGCTTGCTTGCAATTCGATTGTTTTTGGAATCTCAGAATGGTGCTCCCGCTGCAGCGTGGCCCGCATTTTCGGATCGGCGCTTTGCTTCCGTCGTTCAGAATGCGTTCTTGCCCCAGTGCGGGCCGCTTCTCTGGATCCGAGTCTTGCTTCATGTTGATCCCCCCTCATTTCCCCTCTTCCGCCTTACCCTGGTCCTCCTGCTTCTCCTGCTCCTTCCACTCCAGCTCCTGCTGCTGCTGTTCGTCTCGCCCCAGTGCAGGCGACTTCTCTGAATCCGAATATTTCTCCATCGTTATCGCCCTCCTCATTTCCACTCCTCCGCCTTCCCCTGGTCCTGCTGTTCCTTCCGATCTTCCCGCTTGAAATATTGCTGCTGATGCTGTTCGTCCTCATCCTTTTCCTCCCGCTCATCCTCCTGATCACTCGCCACCTCCTCCTCTTGCGCACACAACTCTCCTTTTCCCGATTGCGCATAACATGGAGTGGTCTTTCTGTAGGAGTCGCAGGTCGGCTAGAACACGCGTCCGCGGATAGTCAGCGCCTTGGAAAGGGATGGGAGGGAAAGATAGGATGTCAGATGAGCCGCGAGCGTACATAGCTTGTCCATTCTCCCTCCCTGGTGGTTCCAAAATCACTTTTTATCCCCGTGGGAAGGGACAAGAGCTTCTCAACACCCCACTCAAGCCCTCAAAATCCAGCCTCGGACGCCTCCGACCTCAAGATTGCTTTCAAGACCGCTCCAAGGGAATCCACCACGGCCACGAGGCCTCTATCACATCCCAAAAGGCTCCAAGAGAAGCGAAATCCGCCCCAAGAGAGAGAGAGAGAGCCCAGACCCCCCTGGGACTTGTTTTTTTCACAATGGAAACAAGTCATGCCTTTGTGTTTGATACCTCGATGTGCTGCTTACAGGCGCCTCCGAAGGGTCCAATAAGTCTCCACGTGGTCCAGATCGCCCGAATTATTTCCAAACTGGCCACGCATGGCCACGGATGATCTCAGCTGGCCTCCAAGGCGTGCCCCGCAGTGGTCCAAGGCTACCCAAAACCGCTCCGAAACTGCCCCACGTACCGGGTACATCTGCCAAACCGGCCCCAAGACTGCACATAGTGTCTACATCTGCCCCACGTATGTAACATGGCGCCAGAGAGAAGCCCCACAAGAGCCCTCGACGGCCCGAAAGACTCCCATGATCGTCCCAAGATGGTCCAAGAGGCCCCCAGACGGTCCAAGGGGACCCACGATGGCCCAGGAGGCGGCCCCCAAGAGAGCCCAAGAGGGTCTTAAGAGGAGAACACGAACCGATACTTCGAGCCGTTCCCCCAAAGATGACCCCACAGATCGAAGGCATGCTCCCAAGATGCCTCAGAGACCCCGACGACGCCACCAAGTGACCCCAAGAGCCCAAGAGCCCCCCAGCAGGCCCCAACAATGCCTCACAGAGGCCCCCGAGAAGCCTTCCCAAGAGACCCCAAGAAGCCCTTGAGAACTAAGACTCTAAGACACCTCTTGCCCACGACAGGCAATCTGCGACAACTCTAAGAAACCTATTCCCAGCACCCAGGAGCTGGTGGCGGGATGGGCCGAAGGCCACTTGAGACAGGCTACAATTGGACTGTCTTGGCCAGTTGGACTATGACGAGAACGCGAACCAGGAATTGGTCGGCCGTGCTAGCGACCAGCCGAAGCGGAACCGAGACTGATCTGGACGCATCCCCACTAGGACCCAAACCGAACCCGGGCCCTGCGCCGCCGCTCTTGGTGCCGGACGCACGGCATCTGGCTCTCGGGCATGGGGAAAACAAACGGTACCGATACCGCCGCTCCCTGGACCTCTCCCAGAGGGGGGGGCGAGAAATGGAGAAGGAGGAGGAGGAGGAGCAGGAGGAGGAGGAGGGGGGAGGAGGAGGAGGAGGAGGAGGAGGAGGAGGAGGAGGAGGAGGAGGTTCAGTGGAGGAGGAGGAGGAGGAGGAGGAGGAGGAGGAGGAGGAGGAGGAGGAGGTTCGTGCTGACCAGAAGTTCGAGGCGAATCCCACGGTGGCCACGAGGGCCTCCCAGGAAGCCGCCAAGAAGAAGGGAGAACGGGCGAAGGAAACCTGTTTTTAGGTCGGGCGTGTCCCCCTACAGGCGGATTTTGGACGAAAAATTGAACTACCCAGACAATACTCCCAAAATCATTCAAAGTAATCAAAAAATCGTCCCGCACTATTTTTTTACTACTTCTGAACAATCCTCCTGTAGAGGGACAGGCCCGGGCCCGACTTAAACCTGTTCCTCCACTGAGGGAGGGGCTTCAGTTCGGGCGGGGGCAGTGCGGGGGAGGGGGAGCAGTGATCAGTGCTCATCTCGGGGGGCATCGAGGCAACACTCGGCGGTGGACAAACCTCCCTTTAATAAACCACCTTCTCGTGAAAACAGCCTAAAACCGAAACCGACGGACCTGGACCCGCACAAATGACGGCCGCGACACCCTCTCGCGAACCGAAAACGGCCAATTCGCTAATCGACGTGTCAGGGTAGGAGGTCTACCAACCTCCGAAACACGCGGTTGGAGCCATCCCAGGCGGATCCGGCCGCCTCCTCTCGCGCGTTTCTTCGCTGGGCTGGCGCCGCCGTCCGTCCCAGAGGTCGGAGTAAGGCGCTTGATGCCGGTCGCGGAGGCTGCACAAAGTCCGGGGAGGAGGGGAGAGCGAGGGGGGGGAACCGGGAGGGGCACGGGCAGGTGCAGGGTCAGAGGGCTTGGACTCCCGGGAGGACTTCGTCAGATCTATGAAGCCCGTTTCAGGGGCCACTAAGCCGGACTGCGCCGGGTCAAGCGGAGCTGCGCCGGGTTCCGCGGTACTCAACTGGAGTAAACCAGATTGGGCGACTTTTCGACCTGGGATGTACTAGCGCCGATTCTGAATTTGACATCCCAGGAGTTGCGTCCTAAAGAGAGGACGGGGAGGGCGGGGGACGGGGGTGGTTGGAATAGAGAAACGAGCAACTACAAAAGCATAGGTTCTTGAAGGTCCACGCGGATCTCTTGGCTCGGCGTTGGACCCCTCTCTGACGCACGGAGCGCGCCAAGGGCGGCGCTGGAGGCGCCGCAAGAGGGGTCCCCAACGCCGATCCAAGAAATGCGCACGGCCCTCAGAGAAGTTCGGTTTAGGCTGTCGTTTGCTGTTCCATGGAATGAAGTGAGGATCTGGGCAGCTGCTCGTCTTGGAGTGCCATGTGGGGCATGATCTGGGACAGAAGCACACCGCAGACGGATATACCTTTTCTTGGTAATGCGTCAAACGCAACGGCCACGTTGTCAATAGACGTATCCTCCCCGCATGCGTCGATGTACGTGGCGACGCCCAATGTGTCCAGTGCCGCTTGTGGCCAGAAAGTGGGAGCGGTGCTTGAACAGGCCCGAGATACTGGATTCCTAGAGGCAGGCAGACTTTCCCCAGGGGAGCTCTGCGCTGCTGCCCATCCTTTCGGAGGAGGAGGAGGAGGGGGAGAAGGAGACTGGATAAAAGGAGGAGGAGAAGGCGTGAGAAGAGGAGAGGGAGGATGATGAGGAGGAGGAGGATTCGCCGATGGTCCCTTCGTGCCGTGAGGAGAAGAATGAGGAGGAGGAGGATAAGGATAAGGATAAGGATAAGGATAAGGATAAGGATAAGGATAAGGATAAGGAGGGATATATGATGATGATGATGATGATGATGATGATGATGATGATGATGATGATGATGATGATGATGATGATGATGATGATGATGATGATGATGATGATGATGATGATGATGATGATGATGCTGATGATGATGATGATGATGATGATGATGATGCTGATGCTGATGCTGATGCTGATGCTGATGCTGATGCTGATGCTGTTGATGATGCTGCTGATGATGATGATGATGCTAATGATGATGATGCGAAGGAGGAGAAGGAGGAGGAGGGAAGATCAGGAGCTCTCGCCGTGACGCTTGGCTGCCCCGTGGGAGGCGAGGCGCGTGGGGGAGGCGGAGAGCCGGGCCTCGGCCGCCCCACCGCAAGGGCCCCGGTGACGCAGAAGATGGCCAGCACGGAGCCGCACGAGGCGGCTGGGCGGGCGTCGTCGTCGTCGTCGCAACCGCAACCATCGTCTTCACCTGACGAGCCACAACAGGAGCTCGATTTTTCGTATTCTTTCTGCGATAACCCAGCTTGTCTGGTGGGGGGGGGGTGCTGGCCGAGAACCTGACCATTTCGCCTTGGGTCCCCCCCCCGAAAGCCTGCACGCACGAGTACTGCTTAATTAACCCCCTTCGGACCTGCACAACCGACAAGGTCAGGTTAACCGACGGGGTGGCGGGCGGGCCCGACAACCCCGGTTAACACTGGACCCTATAACAGAGTTTCTAGGGCGGGACTGGCTCAGGGAGGGCAGCATCGAGCTGCAATCGGCGATACATCGCCGATAGATCGGCGATGGGCCCCGGATAGCGATTCCGCACGCTGCTGGGAGGGGTGGGCTGTCGGACCCCTATCGGCGATGAATGGGTGATTGGGCGTCGTCGTCACAGCCGGCAGCATCGTCTTCGGACACCCCGAATTGGCACGGACAAGATGAATACGATGCCCAACAACAAATGTTGTCCAAATTCGACAGCGGCCGCTGTTGGGATGCCGGCTTTCTGTCTCGAATGGACAACGTCGGCCGCGGCGCGGACAGCGAATCCGGTTCAAAATGAACAAGAACTGCTGCTGGGCATCGCATCCATTCTCTCCGTAATCCGATAGCCCTTATAACGGCGACGAGGCGACGATCGAAAGCAGTGCCCCGGCACTGCTTTGAACGCGTTCAAAGCAGTGCCCCGGCACTGCTTTGAACGTATGATATGATGATATGATGATGATTATGATTGATGATGATGATGATTTTTCCAGCGTACACTGTCCGCAACTGCGGCAATCAACATCATGCTCCACTTGCCCGCAACTGCGGCCATCACCAACGCTGCGCCTCGAAGCTCCACGGAGGGCGCTCGGCAGGTCGCCCGCTCGAGCCCCACTCGACTTCACGCTGAGGAGGCGAGCCCTCAGGGGCATTGTCCGCAACTGCGGCATGATCAGAGGGCCACCACTGCGCGCCATCAGCGCCCCATTCGCTCGAGCTCCAGTCCCACCAGGACCAGCCCTGCCATCTCGTGGCGGGACTGCGCGCCTCCCATGCGCCGCTGCCGCTGGCGTCCCAGGACCCAGCCGCCACTGCGGCACAAGAAGGGGTCGCATCGTCGCCGTTGGCAGCTTGCGGCGGTGGCGTGTTCCCAGCTCGCTCAGCCCCAGCGTCTCTCCCCGCAACTGCGGTTCCCATCTGGGGTCGGACGCCCTTCCCCGCAACTGCGGTGTCCGCGTAGCTGCCCTTCTTGCCGCCCTTCTTGCCGCCCTTCCTGCCGCCCTTCCTGCGTTCCAACCTCGCGGCGAGTCTTTCAGGTGACCTGCGGCACGTATTGTGCGTGAAAGCCACCAGAGGGAAGTGCGCTCCGTGCCTCGCCCTGCCGAAGGCGCCATGCCATATCTTGTCGTCGAGGTTGCCCTGCTTCACTCTGAAGGGATAGCGCACCCAATCGTCGCGTTCCCTGCGCGCCATCCTTTGCTCGAACTCCGCAACTGCGGTCAAGGATTCGCCAGATGGCGTCAGGAAGGCGCGCATCTTGTTTTCAACGGGCTCAGCCTTGGGCACGTAAGTCTGAAGCATCTTCCCAGGGCCATTCGTGTAGTCGAAGACAGGGAAAGACGGATCATGCTGGGTCGTCAAGAATCCGCCCTCACGGTCGTGCAGAACACTCAGGCCATGGTGAAGCTTGTACTGCCCAGGACAGTTTATGAACAAAATCGCCATGCTGTCTGCCCTGGGCTGGCCGCCTGCTGTCTTCCAGGGGGTCCACGCGGCGACGTCCACAGTCAGGCCGCAATTGCGGCACCAGGACACAAGCTGGAACATGCACATGTTGAAGTCCCCCATGCAGACCTTCACGTCCCATTCCCTGACGTAGGCGACGAACCAGTTGTAGAACTCATGGAGCTTCGTGACGCCCCAGTCTTGGTTGGCCAAGCTGTGGTGGACGTGCACCGCCATGACGTTGAAGGAGCCCCCCAAATGGGGCACGGCCTGGTCCAGGTGGACGCGCACCACCATCGCCCTGGAGTACTTGTTGTGCAGCTTTGGCGCAGGAGCCTCCGCAACTGCGGACTGTTTCTTCTTCTTCTTCGTTTTGGACTTCTCCTGCTTGTGGAAGAGTCTCGCAAAGTCTACGTGTTCAATGTGGCCGCCACTGCGGTCCCTCATGCCAACAAGGAGGGTCCCTGATGGCTCGCCGCCCTTAACGCACAGGTAGTTGTATTGAGTCCGACTCCGAAACCTATCGTCCGCAACTGCGGCTGCACTGTCCCTCGCGTCGTGCTCCCCACTGAGTACCGCGCAGGTCTCGTCGTCGCACTCGCAGAGGGCGATGATCTGGGCAGGGTTCGCGCGGAGCTGCGCCCACTCGTCCGCGCGTTGCGTGGGTCTAGCTGCAGTCCCTCCGAAGTTGGCCACGTAGAAGCCGACCCGTCCCGCTTCGAACTCCGTTTTCTCCTCCCATGCGTCGACAAGAGCTCTTTGTTTTTCCGACAGATTGCTTGTCTCGATGATGGGCACCCGTTTCCAGGGTCTCCGCGACGACAACACTCTCGGCATGTAGGAGTCATGTGCTGCCGCAACTGCGGCTCCCGCACCTCCCCGGGACTCAGCCTCGTCAGCGGAGGCAGCCGAGGACGCGACGGTGCTGTCGCCATCTTGCGTCCGCTGGTCGTCGTCATCATCCGCAACTGCGGCTTCCTCGTCTTTGCCTCCCTCCTCCTCCTCAGCGTTGTGGATGAACACCGTTCTGGCGAATCGAAATCCACGGTCCATACTCCCTGAGGATGCGCTCGGGCGCGCGGGCGGCCACATGCTTGCGTCTTCGCGTGCGCCACCTCGAGCCACGGTGGCTACGGAAATGGATCGTGAATGGGCATGGGGTCGGATGGAGGGAGGAGACAAAGAGGATTCGAGGAGTGGCAGAAGGAGGGCGAGGACTCAAAGGAACCGAAAGAACAACAAATGGACTGGCGGAGAAGCAGAAGGAGGGCGACGATTGCAAGGGACTGTGAAAGGATTATTTTCACAGCAGCAGGAAGACCGCAACTGCGGTTTTGCCTCATCTCCTGCCCGCGCGGGAGCCGCTTGGAAAAACAACTTCCCTCTGGACTTCCTGTGGGTCCGCAACTGCGGCCTGCATCACGCTAGGGCTGGGATTACCAGCGCCATTTGCCCTCCCAGGGTTCTCACTGTTTCCGAATGCACGAACTGCGACAGCGCCGAACGGTTCCCAGACGCCGCGTCGTTCGCGACTTTTTGCAGCCACCCAGCAAACGTGAGCGGCCATTGCTCCTTGTGCTGCTTGCACATCTCCTCGTCCCAATGCGTCTTGAACCATGCCCACTCCCCCCTCTGCTCGTCTGAGAGGACGCCTTTTCCGCGAGCCAGGCGATCCAGAGCTGCCATCCTGTTTTTCTTGATCTTGAACTCCTCGGGATTCCACTGCGCTAGGGCGTGTTTGTTAGCCAAAGCCGTTTCCACCGCAACTGCGGCCTCCTTCTTTGCCCTCAAGGCGGCCTCGGCCTCTCGAATCTGCTTCTTGAGATCGTGCAACGCCTTCGTCCTGTCGTTCGCTTCCAGAGCCAGGCGCCGCTTTTTCGCCACCACTGCGGCTTCGTGGTCTCGCTGGGCAGTCAACGCTCGTAGGACCTCGTTGTCCTCCCGCGCCAGCTCTCTCAACCGCTTCTTTTGTTTGTGTCGTTGCTGTCGGCAATCCTGCGCTAGTTTCTCCATGCCCACTTGGCGCAGCATATCTTCCGCCTCGCGGAGCGTTTCTGCCAAGGACGTCGCCACTGCCACCTGCTCGGCCGCCTCTGCGTCGACCACGCAGTCCATGGATACCGAGGATCCTTGAGGCCCAGGTGCCGCAACTGCGGCATCGCACTGTTCCGCAAGAGCCTCGGCCCACGAGGCCTCCTCTTGCTCTTCGTCCTCCTCGTGCTCCTCGTGCACCTCCTCCTCCTCCTCCTCCCCGCCCTCCTCATCGCCCTCCTCGTGGCCTGGCTCCTGGCCTAGCGCTTCGTCGCCGAGCTTCTCCAACACGGAATCTGTGGCGTCGTGTTTCTCGTATTCGTGTATGAGACGCAGCACGTCATTGTAGGACCATTTCAAACGTTTCTGCTCGCATTCTTCCCTCACCTCCGCGACTGCGGTGTCCACTTTTGCTCGCAGCCCCCCTGCTTCCCAGAGTTCCGCCGCCTCTCGGCAAATCTCGAGATCTCCTGACTTGTCGAAGGGCGCTCGAATTCCCACTTTCAGGAAACCTTTCGCGGCGTCCAAGTGCAACTGCACATTCTCCAACACTGACAGCATCAAGTCGGCGCAATCGGAACGCCGCAACTGCGGCACGTGCTTCCCCAACGCCATTTGCTGCACCAGCGCTTTGGTCTCGAGGGCAATGTACCGGCGCTTCACGTGCTGGTTCAAGTCCGTGTCCACGGGCTGCGCAACTGCGGTCGTCCCCCCGCCGTGAATGATCAGCACGTAGCCGCGCTGCCAGGCGAGTCTCCGCACAGCGTCTGCTTTGTGCGGGGAATGGTCGTCGGCCATGAGGATGCGCCACTTTCCCCGCAACTGCGGGTCGTCGGGCCAGGCCCGCAAGTGCCGCTGCAAGAATGATACAACGTCGTCTGCGCGGTAGGACCCCTTCTCGGACGTCGCCGTGCTCACCCAAGACGGATAGCCGCGACTGCGGGCATGTGCGGCCAAGCCCTCAGCGATGACAGATCCCCCCTTGAACATTAGCTCCGCCGGCGGTGGTCCGCAACTGCGGATGTCCTCCGCGTCGCTCGACACCGTCAGGTTCGCTGTCCACCGAGCCCTGCTGTCGTCATGCGCCTCGACAAGCGGGACAATGCCACCCTTCACAGCCAAGGTCGGCTTCGAGGCCGACGACGACTCGTTGTGGTGAAAGGGCGACTGGTCCCAGTTCAGGATGTG